AAATGCCCCCAGGGACCCCACCGTGCGGCTGCACAGACGGAGAAGTAGCTCCCAAGCTGTGCAGTACAGCCAGCTAGAAGGGGCTCCCAAGCCAAGAAAAGAAAAAGGAAACAAACAACTAAACTAAACAAATCAAAACAAATAAACAGAAATCCCGGGGATACCACCAGTGTGGTGGCGCGTACCAGGAAGCAGTTCCACAGTTGAGCAGCGCTCCACAGCCTTTCAGGAAGAAGGAAACATGGCACAGCGAGCCAGGTGTTTGAGAGAAAGGAGGGAGATTGGTGAGAGGTACGGAAGAAACCAAAAGAAGTGGAAAAAAGCAACACCAGCAACAAACAAATGGTACTCAGGGAGCCAGCCTGTGTGGGCGGGTCGAATTCAAGCAGCACAGGGCTAAAGCCAGTGCCTCTCAGCCAGGGGACTGGCTGCAGGAAGCAGAGGAGGCTGAGTGGGGTAAAGAAGGGTAGGGGGTAGGAGAGCATATATCGCTGGTTACTGGTTATTCTGTCTCCTGCTGGGAGCTCCATGAAACTGCTTTTCCGTACTCCCTGTCCACTGATTTCTGATGTGGCCAGGCGAATCCAAGCAGCAGGGACCCTGCACTTCCCGGCAGGCTGAGCTACCGCAGCCAGCTATGAAGCGGGAGAGGTCAAGCAGGTAGGAGAAGGATGGGAGGTGGGAAGGTGTATATTGCTGGTTACCGGGTGCTCTGTCTCCTGCTGGGAGCTCCGTGAATCTTCATTCCCATACTCACTGTCTGCCGATCTCTGACAGGAGTCCAAGATGGTGAATCTGTGCTGTGTTAGCTGATAGGGGACCTCTGCACATATCTCTCCTTGCTCTGTTCTCTCTCAGTTTCTTATTCCATTCCATGCTTGACTGACTTCTTTATCTCTTCATTTGACAGTTAGGTTTCTAGGATTGATGTTTGTCTCTGTTTTACTTAGTTTTTCGGGTCTTTGCTGTGGAGAGACCGTGTGGTGCTTCTGTCTGTAGTGCCATATTGACTCCCACAACAATTTTTTTTAAAAATTAATATTTTATTGTGTTTTTTGGTGGAAGTTTACATAGCAAGTTAGGTTCCTCTTTGATAATTTCCATACAAATTGAATCAGTGACATCAGTTACATTTTTTCACGTTGTGTCAACATTCTCATCACTTGTGTTCTGGTTGTTCCATTTCCAGTACTCTAGTTTCCCTGCCCCCTTATCTTCTCATCTTTTATTTGGATTAAATGTTGACCTTTTGGACTTGTACAGATTTTTTTTAGTAACATAGCTATCTAACAAGTAATTTCTTTTATTTTCTGTGTCGCTCTACTTTTCTGTTAAAAGATGATTTTAGAGTATAGTTTTGGTTCAGGATTTAAAGAGCATCTCAGGGAGTCCTCTGGTCTCAGGTGTCCAGTTAGTTTGGCCATTTTTAAAGAATTTGAGTTTTATTCTGCATTTTTCTCCCATTCTAACTAGGGTTATCTATTGTGCCCCTGGTCAGATCAGTCAGTGGTGGTTGCTGGACACAATTTAGTTTTTCTGGTGTCAGGGCAGTTGAGGTCCTAACTCATGTAGGCTATCAGTCTTGTAGACTTGTTTCTTCTCTGTGATTTTGGTTACTTTCTTACTCTTTTGCTTCTGATGAGTTGAGACCAATAGTTGTATCTCAGATGGTTGTTTGTAAGCTTTTAAGACCCCAAACACTACTCACTTCACTAGGATGTAGAACATGAACTTTGTGAGCTATATTATGCCAGTTGACTGAGCTGTTCCACGAGACTATGGTCCTAAACTTTCAAACTTAGAAAATTGATCTTGGAAGGTGTTTGGTTATGTGTGAGGAGTATCTGTAGTTGTGTCTTCAGTGAATATATGTGCCTGTATATCTGTATGTACACGTACATGT